CACAAGATGCGAATCTTGTCAATTGATCAGGGACCGAAAGCAATCAACGACCGAAAGCTAATCAGGACCGAAAGTGAATCACAGGTTCGCTTCAAATCCAGTTGCAGTTTCGTTCCTTCTCGCTCCGATTTCAAATGGACATGGACCGAAAGTAATCAAGGACCGAACGTAGATTAAGGACCGAAAGTGAATTGCAGTTCGCTTCAATTTCATACCAAAGCGAAATCAACCGAACGTTCGGTTGTGAACAGTAGATTCGGGTTCGGTTCTTATTCGTGAGGTTCGGTTGTTAATTTAAGTTCGGTTCTTAAACTGAGTTTCGCTCTTGTAATTGTAAGGTTCGCTTCAATGCTTCAGTGAACGACCAAACAAGCGAAACCTCTATTGACCATAAATCCAAAAGCAACCCCTCATGTTATAATAAACTGACAGTTTGTACCCTTTAAGCATAAAAGTGTCAGAAATCAGCTTTCTTTTTGCAGAAAAATGACACTTTTCACCCCATCTTTTCAACTTTTTCAACTTTTGTCAATTCCAACACAAAAAAAACAATAAAATTGATTTCTTCAACACAATATCATATCATTGAACCAAATCCATCAGATTTCACCAAGATTTTGTCCCTATTTTCGGTTTTATTTTATTTATTTATTTATTTTTTTGATAAAGGACAAAACTTTTATGGGACTTTTGATACCCATTTAAGATTCAACATTAAAGTATGTTTCTTGCATAACCACTTATTTGAAGAAAATCTATCATCCTCTGAAAATAATACCCGCTTCTTAGTTGGAAAACAAAAATTTCATTAAACCAACCAAATTCTCTTTTCTTTTCCTTCCAACTTCTAAGATTTTTAACTGAAGAAAAATAAGAATCAGAGATTCTTTGTAATAAAAAATGGGATAGTAGAGGTGAGACCTTTCTTGCTCTTGGAGCAATTGTGGGGTGCTAATGGAATGAGTCTGGTAACAAGCTATATTTTTCTTTATAATTTAAAATTGGATTTTGGGATTAGGACAGATACAACTTTCTATTTAGTTTATAAGTTTTCTAATTCTCCAAAAAAAAAAGGTTAACCTTTTCTATTTATAATTTCAATATGGGTTTTTTTTTTTTTTTTGTTAAAGCTCTCCATCAATGTGCTTGTGGAAAGTATCGGAAAAATTGAAAATAGAAGGCTACAAGGAAAAAGTTTTGCTATGAATTGATTTACTGGAGCAACTCAATACAAGGAACAAAAACAAGTTGATTGTAAAAATATATCGAAATATATAGTTCCACTTTTTGTTATTTATTACTCCAACCTTCTTTGACTTCCTGTTCTAAATGTTTATTAGATTACCCTCTTTGAAAGAAACAACAATTCATTATATTTTATTTTTTATTACATTATTGCATTTTTATTGTTTTTCTGTCAAAGTATGTTGATATTAAAAGTGTTAAAATTTGTTTCTAAATAGTAGTTTGTCCAGATGCAAAAAATAAAATAATAAGATAGAAATTATACATAAATCTACATGTTTATTTTAGTAAACACTAAATGAAATTTTATTTATAAAACAACCGGTTTACCGGCTGGATATTATGTGAACTTACAAAATGTAAATTGAATATTAACAATAATGTATATATTTATTTTAAAACAAAATTATAAGCTTACTTAAAAAAAATTATACCTTTGTAAATTAATAATTTTTTTGTAAATATTTGATAAGACCATACCATTTCAAATTTTTAATAGTTTTTTCTTTTTAAACCGTGATTTCCACGGGTTTAAACCTAGTTTTTGAATAAATTAAGCTATATCTCGCCCCTTTAGTCTGTTTCTCCCACTAAGACCTATTTTAATATAATGAATGTAATTTTGATGTTGCCTGTATATAAGAGTAATAAGATAAAGATATATTCCACAAAGAATAACCTTTATTTCTTGTTCTATTGCATTACATTCCATATATCTCTTTTCATAAAAGAATTTTTATAATCTGAAAACAAAATTGGGATAATGAATTAAAAGGGTAATATATTATTCGATTTATACACATTTGGTCACTGAGTTTTTTTTCGTCCACATTTACCCATTCAACTTGTTAAAATGTACACATTCAGTCCTTATGACCGGTTACTCCAGGTTAGCCGGGAAAAATGACTTAATAGGGTAATATATTTCTCATTTTGTACACATTTTGTCCTTAATATTTTTGTACACATTTAGTCCTTAATATTTTTTTGTTTCAAACTAAGTCATTTTTGTTTTTGTACACATTCAGTACTTATGAATGTTTTCTTTAGGTTTTTCTCACGACATCTTACGTGGGACAATCATTGATGAAGTGTGTGGGACTGTTAATGTTTATGTGTAATGTCTCATTTTCACAACAAAAAAGTTTTCATTTTTAAATAAGGCAAAACTCCCTAATTATAAATCGATTATTAAGAAAAAAAACGTTTGTTCAAAAATACATTTATCGAAAATCAGAGTAATATAAGAAACGCAGAATCCTCAATATTGTTGATGAGTGTGTACAATCATGCATTCTCCTTCCCACGACCAACGATAGAACCTGAAAACATAAACAATTGGGTAAACACAAAGTTTAGTGAGTTTCCTCCAAAATACCCGATACAACAAACATATTATCATGCATAACGGACCCACACTCATCAGACTGGAACACCTTGGCCCAATCAGTCATCGGATTGGAATACCCAATGTTTGTTGGCATGACGCCTTAACCCAACAACTCTTCTCGAGTCTTCGTGCCTATAGCTTATAGTCGGCCCGCACCAGGTATCTTGGCCTACAACATATAGCATGACCACCTCAACCTATCCCACCACCATATGGCTATCCCACATAAGATGTCGTGAGAAAAACCTAAAAAAATCATTTATAAGTACTGAATGAATACAAAAACAAAAATGACTTATTTTGCAACAAAAAAATATATTAAGGACTAAATGTGTACAAAAATATTAAGGACTAAATGTGTACAAAGTGAGAAATATATTACCCTATTAAGTCATTTTTACTCGGCTAACCTGGAGTAGCCGGTCATAAGGACTAAATGTGTACGGTTTAACAAGTTGAAGGGATAAATGTGGACGAAAAAAGAACTGAGTGACTAAATGTATACAAATCAAAAAATATATTAACCTTTTAAGTCATTATCCCAATAAAATTCGACATTAATCATCTTATTGATATCGACTAAAGGGTATACACCTTTAACCATCTAATCAAATGTGGAGCATCTACCCATTGATAGTTATCTAGTAATGACATACGAAATATCCACATCGAAATATATTATTATAAAATTTGAAGAATAGTTTTACACCTATGATTCGATCTACTTTACTTTTGTGACTATAATCGATAAGGTTGCCTTTAAAAAAAACGTTATTGTTTTACGTATTTAACTTTATTATGTATAATCAAAAAAGAGAGAAAGGTTGTAACAAATAAAGTAATGATCATTAAAAGTGGAGTGTTTGTTGACTGTTGAGAAATGCTTTCGTTGTTGTCTGAACTTCAACCGTCGATGATTTGATTTTAAATATATATACTTACATAGTTAAATACTTTTCTACTTTCTCTTTAAAGGTGTTTTTTGGCTAGAGAATTGTTTAGTAAATAAATTCCTTTACCTTGTTTTCATTCAGATGCTAAAAACTGGTGCTTGATAAAAAAAACTAAGCAAATTTAATTAGTCAGTAAAAGTTAAAGTGTCTAAAGGTTTTAAAATAATCTATAACGAAACAAATTTAATATGCTAATATATTTCAATTTGTATTATTCTTATAAAATCTTGCTTTCATTCCATCGTCCTTTGTATTATAGAACTGTTTTTTTAATCTTTCATGAAAGACATGGTTTTAACAAATCTAATCATTAGGGTGTGTATAGGATGGTTTGTTTCGATTTTTAGCTAAAATCAAACCATAACCATTATAAGTGGTTAATGCATTTTTATAGTCATTAGGTATTGGTTAATATTGGGTTTGGTTAACGGCAGTGGCGGATCCTTTATAGGGGCATTTTTGAACTTATAATACCCAGATTTTATGTGAAGGATTGGTTTTTATATTTACAGTATTTTTTTGGCCCCACTCGTTCATTCTTTATAAACAAAATAACAAAACAAGAAAATCAAAAGGTAGTTCATAAAATTAGGAAACTAGATAAGTTATTAACAAAATGACAGAAAATTACTGAAAAGAATCAAAATTAATCATATACTAGCAGGGTACCCCGGGCTTCGCCCGGGTCGGTATGTGCTTTTTTTTGCGTGTGTCATTCTGAAATGTGTCATTGTTTCACATGATTGGCCTCCTTCAAATTCTTCCAATTATAGCATTGCATTTGGGAAAACATACAAAGATAAATAAAATATAGATTTCGGAAAACAGTTAAGCGATGCTAACAAAGTAACCCCATCACCTTTCAAATTAAAAAAAATGAGGAATTGGTCTTTCATTTTAAACATAAGAGTGTACTACAATAAATTCAAACAAAAAAATGTGGTACAGACTGCATCCACAGAGCTTTTCTAAAACATGAAACAAACGAATGGAATTAGTTTTATCACTTTAATTCCATCCAACAAAAACAAAATGTTTTTTTATTTCATTCCAATGGAATGAATGATTCCATTCCATACCTTGACCTTCTTCTTGGGTTCCTTCTCAGCAACTTCTTTCACATTACTTCATGGGAGTTTAACACTAAGTTCCAAATTTTCAGTAATAAAAACTTCTTGGATGCAAGGCTGCCTTCAATGTAACAACTGATATCCCTACAAAAAAAGGGTCATAAAATTGAAATCTTATATTAATCCACAAATTTGGATACTCCAAAAAGTAAACGACAGATATGAAGGAGAGTCATCCATAACTGTTCCATTTAACTGATATGAAACCGAAATGGAATCCATAATTCCAGAGTTTGAAATGTTATGTTGTGATTCCATTCCATTGCCATAACCATGAGTAACCTAATAGGAAAACCTCGAATTACCCAAATACCCTTCAAGTCCACCAACTGCAACCCCATTCACATTCTGGGCACCCGCCACCATATTCACCGGACCATGTTGCATCTCCGACTGTATAAGCAGTCCACCACCACTAAATCCTACATCACTGCTATAAATCAAAGTTACGTTTAGTAAATTTGTGTGATTCCAGAGACAAAAATGTACTGAAACTATAATGTCACCTGGGAAAAACCAGAGGAATGCACTCTAGATATAGACAAAATTCTGAGTATCACTTCATCAATCTGTGGTGGCTCTTAGTCAACAACATGGTAACACATCAAATATTGCAACCAAACAGACATTATATTCAAAATAAATTCCATATACTGCATATCTCTGCCAAAAGTAACAATATAAAACGTATGTTAATGCCATGTCATCGCCACATCATTGCCATTTGAAGTCATCAATGCCACATCAGCATAAAGGCATAAACAGAATAACTTACTGCAGAAGCTTTTCCACTTTGGAACCATCGTCTTCCAGTGAGTTTTTTTTTTGTAGTGAGGGCTGATTCTAGTAATAGCCTGAAAGTCGGAGGGTAGTAATTAATCATTATATAAATTGTGGAAAATAATAAAATCTGTTAATTACTTGGCTCTCTCAAGGGCTATTTCTCCTTCAAATTTTTCTCTCCATGCCAAAAATGTTTCAACAGTGACAAGTTCTCCATGTGGCACAATCAAATTAATATTTTTCAATTTAGTTGGACCCAATCAAATCTTTTTTTTTCCAAATTAACCATTTTGATGGTTTGAATGGAAAAAAACAATATCTGTGGTTCAAAAATGCAAAACTATCTTTTACTTTACCAAGTCACAATATTGGAGTGAATGTTTAATCAACATTAAAAATAATTTTTTTATCAAGGGCAAAATGGTCAAGTAAAAATACTTGGTGCCTGGAGTTTTCTGTTTTTTAGAGACCAAGGAACGCACAATGCTCTCTGGCATGGTCTCGGACAAAGTGTGAAGCCAGATAATCATATAATAAAAATAAGATTACAATATTATTACGACAAAAAAAAAAGTAAATTACATTGCTATATTCTGCAAATGTCCCTTAATTATTCATCGAATCTCAACACGGGTTGAAAAAATGTTTGGAGGTCAACCTACCACATTTTGACCAAAGATTTTTATGGTTATATTAAAAAGGTGGGTAAGTTTTTTTTCGTAAACCTACAATATTTTTTCATACCTGATTGTAGAGGTGATGAAACATTCCCACCCAAAAGAGACCAATCAGAAACTTAGCCATACATCTGCACTACATTTGGAGAGTTAATTTTTAACTTTTGATTCTATAAATTTACCTCTTGATTTCATTGAATCAGAAACGGAATGGAATCACTAATTCCATTACTTTGGAATATGACTCCTTCCATTTTGTTAATCCTTCACTTGACTAATGGAATGAAAAATTACAATTTAACCAATTTTTATTCATGAATTTATTTGGAAAATAAGTTTTGTGATTTTAGTTAAATAATAATTTTACTATGAGCTTCATGATTTACTTACATGATACGGGCCAAAAACAACAGATTTATGATCAACAGGAAACTAATATTACTTGACGGGTATTTATCTTCAAATACCTTGAAGCAACAACCACAAAAAAGAACCACATGTTAATTAGATATTCATCAAATGCTTAAAAAGATAAACATTTATAATTATTAACCTGTGATTCAAGAGATTTGAATTTAACTGAAACAATTATAAAAATGAGCAAGAAAACATGAATTATCAATTTTTTTTTTAAAAAAATTAATCCAACTTTAAAGCTATAGTGTTTTTATGCTTATGTTTTTACTTGAACTGCCTGTTTTTAATCCTCACGTTCCATTAACTTCTTTCCAAAATGTTGCTTAAGAGTCATGGTATCCGATCCTTCAAAAAGTCTCATTTCTGATACTTCATGTTCTAATCGTTTATTTAATTCATGTAACCTTTTATTCATAGAGTCTTGGAGAAGGGGATGCTCCAATTCTTTTGCTGTTTCTTCCTATATCACACCAGAATCGCCTATATTTATTGTCATTTAAAAAAAATGATTAAATAAAAATAATTTTACATTTGTATAATTTTTTTTAAGCTTACCACTTTCACTCATTTCATAATCTGATGAATTGATACTTTGCAAACCCCTTTTAATCCGTTAAGTTTTCACGCAAAAGGAATCACCAATCTGAAAAATTGCAGCATAATTGGTTATGTTTTTATAAATGTTGACAAAAGTTACAAACTTTTACATACTTTAGAGAAAGATTGTTGATCAATAGTGATGCCTCCATTGCGAGTCTCATGAGGTTTGCGACACAAATCCTGATTTGTAGCTTCAAGCCAAGAAATCCGCTCCCGTAGGATCTAAATAACATGTGGTAGTATGATCAATACTGTTCCTTAAGGATGAAAGTAAGTTTGACTTTTACAATGATAAAAGACTTTAAAAAAAGCATACTGGTAAATTTTTGATATATCTAAGTTTTCTTTTGCATCAATCATGCAATGAGCTTAAGCCTCAACAATCGACTCTATATCAAAGTTACTAAAATTATAAAAATCACTAATAGCAACTTAGCAATCAATCAAATGACATAGATACAGAACGGATTCGGTAAGCAAACCTTCAAGTTTCTGAGCATCGTTTTGAGATGGTGATTGCTTTTCACGATTAGCAGACAAATCTAGGGAAATAATAATCCCCTGATATAATGATTTATGTAAAACATTTAACCCAACACTTGTTAGTCAAACACCAATACGCAGGTAACTGTAGGTAAAGTTGGATGGAATTATAAAGTTAATAGAAACAATAATCCAATGAAACAAACCAGTGGCCTGAGCTTTCACTGATGTCGACTTTGCAGAGAAGTAGCGTATGAGCAGGAGCCGAGTCACAAGAGAACCGGAACCTCATACACATTTTTTTTGTTCGACAATTCAGCGGAACCTAAGGATACTGCAACAATTTCGGTGGTGTTGAATACGCTGGAACACAAAATTTGAATAATTCATAAACCCAAGAAATCTACGTATATATAAAGTACCTGATTCACCTGTTGCAGTCCCGGCCTGTTGTCGGCCACCTGGAGTTCCGATTACTACCTATATCTTTAAAATTCAAACAAAGATAAATATGAAAGCACAAAATGAAATGATTTCAACAAACAAACATATGATTGATACTTTTATTATCTAAGGTTTCAATCTTTCAGTTTGCATCAAATTATAGTGCTCACAATTATCATTAGAGTAGGAAAAGGAAATGCCAAAGAAACATACTAAGAAGAAGTGAAAATTAAAATCAATATAAACGAACAATTTACCTTTCTAAACCAAAGGTATTTAATTTCAGCAACATTATAAACAGACATTAAATTAAAAAATGTTTTTTTTTTGTTATTTGGTTTAGACATTTCTTCAAACAGGTGGTGGGCATAAATACGAAGACACACATACACATATAAAGTGGAAACAACAAGTTGGCATGAAGAATGTGGAAAAAGGGTTTGTGTTTGCAACCTTGTAAAAACGACAATCAAATTTCAATTACACCCGGTACTCAAAACAAATCGACATGGAGAAAAAAAAAGTAAGTCGATGGAATAGTAGGATACCTTAGAGACCCACACGCTTCATCAACTGTCCCAACAGGAACCGATTCGTCCCCAAAAATCACGAAGTTAACAGACGTAAGGAAGCACAACATCCCCACCCCTGCACAGTGATTATACCTCGGATGACCAGGTGTGGAGAACTTCAGGACCCTCTCAACATACCAGAAATATGCACCGCAGAACTCACAAACACAGTCACAGTCCCCGGAATCAAGGTATTGGGGAAGAACAGAAAAGGCTGGAAGACGGCGACACTTGCGACGGCCACCAACGGAAACTCCAACAGAGGAGGAAGCACCGTCATTAGGTTTCAGCTTCGGCTGGACAGACATAGGAAGAAGGGACTGACGAAAGAACAGAAAAGAACTAAACAAAAAACCAAATGGAAGAAACAAAGGTCGAAGAACAGAAGAAGATTACCTGTCATAGAAGGAATGATAGAAGCAAGGAACGAACTGTGGAATCAGAAGGCGACCGACGAAGCAAAAAAACCTTGAGGAAGAAAACAATAATGGCGAGAACGATAGAGAGAGTTCTGGAAGGATGGAAGACGGTGATGTTTGTTGAGTATACCTGATGGCATGGTAAAGCGGTGGAGAATGAGCGGTGATCATGGTTGAGTTAAAGTAACCGGATGAGAATACCCTGGTAAGGACCAAATTGCAATTTCAACAAAGAATCGGACCAATTCCGTGATACAACAAATATGTGGACTAAAGATGCGAAAACCCACCAAGTTTACTGTTGCTAACTTAGGACATTTTTAATATATATATTTTTTAATATATATATATATATATATATATATATATTAATTAGGATACCAACTGATTTGGAAACTAAAATCTATAAAATCCAAAAAAACGTGTTGTAGTTTACAATTTTCTAAACCAATCTTTAACAAAAAACAAACCATAAACTAGAGATTACTGCTTTAAAAAAGATATGTTCACCGGAAAAAAAACCGGTCACCTCGGAAACTAAAGAATACAAATGTCTTTGTCTCTCTAATCTTCTTTTTATGATCGACTGTTGTTTACCGTTTGCTGTTGTTTCCTCTTCACAGTTTTCTTCTCCAACTGTCGTTATTTGGTGCTTCCTCTACACATTAGACTTTTGCCGACCTCTGTTTTTTCTTATTTTGTCTTCCCACTCCAAAATCCTCATCCTCCGAAAATGTGTAAGTTTTTCTTTCTTTCTATCTCTAATTTATTTGTCTTTCTTTCTTCTATTACATGTAATATATTATATTAAAAAGTTGGAAGACATATGAAGTTAGGCTGTAGGTACTTGTTTATAAAAGTTGAAAGACCTCTATAGGTACTTTTTTTATTGTTTTGTAATTTTATATATTATTATATTGCTAAACATTATAGCGTAAATCTTACAAAAAATTAATTTGAAATTATGATAATTTAGTTTGTTAAAGATGTATATATTATCTTTTATTATATTTATTAAGTATTAATTAATTTTATATTTTCATCAAAATATAATTATCATTGTTGTAAAAGAATTACAATAAATTAAAAATAATCAATTGGAAATATATAATTGTTAATTATTCTTTCATTTGGTTCTTTGTTAATGGTTACTTGTTAGTTAATTATGTTATTTAGTGTATATCAATTAGAAAAAACCAAGTATTGACCGTTTTCTAAAAAAAATATGCAAGCTTTTCACAATATTTCGAACAATCATCGTCGATTGTTTTGGATGCAACTACCGCTACGACTAATCATGCTATGGAGAACTGATCTCAAATTAAACTTGTTTATATGTGAAGTTTTAGTTTCGGCCCGGCCCCTCTGGTTTTCATGCTTGTGTTCCGCCCCTGGTTAACGGTTTTTGTCGGTTAATTGTTATGATAAATTGTCAATATTGATTAATCATAATGGTGAAAAATGAGATAAAAAAATACTTTGCTATAAAAACTGAAAAACAGAATGTACATTGTTATAAAAAAGTGAACGATTTGATGTTTATAACTTTATTAATATGAAAAAAGATTTGGTATCCCATTTAATTCCAAATATTACCTTTTAAATTTCAATTCCAAATACAACTAGGGAAGTACCCCGGGTTGGATACACCAAAGAATTGGAAAAAATAGGAAATTTGCACAGTTGCAGACATTAAACCAGGTTTTCTGCACCAACAATCGTCCATAGAAAAAATATCAAAAATCATCAAAAATAAGCACTTAAAGGCAAAAAAGATTCATTGTAACGGGACCAGATCATCTGGAAATTATAATATTCAATCTCGCTTTCATTTACACACAAAGACTCAAAGCTTCAGCCAAAGGACTCTTTGCAGCCGCCTCCTTTAAGGCCTCAAAAGGGTCTCTCAACTTCACCTGGTCTGGATCTATCTTTGGTCTTATATTGTTTATCATTTCCAACTTGTAATTAGCTTGTGGATCTTTAAATCTAGCCTGTGGTTCAATACATTAAAATAACATTTTTTGGTCAATTAAACCATGACATATTAATATGTAAAAATGAAATCATTTTTACCAGATACTTTAATTTTGGTCATGACCAATTTGGTCATTTTGGTCAAAATAACCATTTTTAGTCATTTTCTCATTGTGCACTAAAACTAACATGCAGTGATAAAACTTCCAACTAACCTTGGTTTCTTCATGGTATGAACACCATCTTTTAGTAAGCTCATGTGGACAGTGGTATTATTAAGCACGGCATGGAAAGCATCAAAATGAACAGGACAATATGAATGTGATCCAAGAAGATCTTTGGGTGGAGTTCTGAACTCATGAATTACTTCCAAAAAGTCCTGCATATTGGAGCTGAAGATGGAGCAATAAAAACACTATATCCAGTCATCTGCATATGTTGCATCCCAATAAATTTGATACCACAACATGGATGTAATAGTTTCAGCATCAAGTTCTTCCTTGTCATAGATCTAAATACATTCCATAGAAAAAAGTAATAGCATTTTGCAGCATACCCATGTGGAAGTCTTAAAACCCTATAAAAATAAAAGGAAAAATGGTTAAAATTGTGGAACTTTATTGTCCTTAACAGTTCTGTTGAATTAAGTGTCATATTTAAATACTTCACAAATATAATAGTTTGAAGCTCAAAAAAAGAAATATAGGCCTACCACGTATTAGTAAAATAAACATATGAGTTTCTTATTCAAGTTGTCCTGTGAATTGGATTTTATGATTTTTAAAATGGTATGCCAAATGTAACACGGTGGATCCATTAGAACAAACAATGGAATGGAATTAAATTCCAATTCATGCCAAATCAAACAAAAAATCCCCTCTCACAATTTATAGACTCACCAAATCCAATGATACTTTATCCAACCTCTATTCTTTTGACATGCTCTTCTGCAAGGTGGTGCATCTTTGTTTATCTCTGGGTAGGGAAAATATTGTTATGGTAGAATAAATCTTAGTATAATCTTAGAAAAAAAGGAGTAGAGGACCTTTACTTCATACTTTCTTGTACAAAAACTTAGAATGTTAACTGATAAATAGAAAACTTACCTCTTGCATATCATACCTGAAACCACCTGAAATTATTAAAAGCACACACACACACACATCCAACCATAAAAAAAATAAACATAAAGGTGTTTAGTTATTGATTGATCATGTTCTTAGTTTCTTACCAATCTGGGATGAACGAAATTAACTTCAATGGTTTAGAAATTTCACGAGATTCTTTAGTAGTTCTCAACAAAGAGGACATTTTGTTGTTGGTGTTGTTGCCTTCAGTCCATGTACGATTGTTACTGATCCAGATTTGCAAGCACGCATGAAGTAGATAGCCATATAATATATCTTATAATATATTGTCTTAAAAGACTCAATTTATATACTTCTTTATTATTTCATGTTGGTCATTACTGCAAAAAAAAAATCAAAGCATAAGTATAACTATTAATCTTACAAAAAAATATATATTTAATACTTAATTATTAAGTCTTTTAAGAAAAAGGAACTTAGATAATCGAAATGTTAAAGTGTTCTCAAAGTTTAGGTATCAAAATTTTTAATTAAACCATTCAATTTTTGCACGTTTTCAATTCCATTATTTTTGCCTCATATCCCAATGTTAAACCGTTTTCATAGCTTAGGTATCAATTTTTTTTTGATAAATTGACACATTATGTGGCATTGTATATGTTTTGAGACGTAATTTATCATTTTCCTGTAGTTAGAGAAAGTCAAGTAAGATTATATGTACCTTTCTAGTGTCATCGGAGGCTGTGATGATATCTTTCACTTGTAATGCTATCAATTTAGCATGTTTGCTTATCATCTTGGGTTTGTTTAAACCTAGAAAAAAGTTGATAATAATATGAAAGATGTTACTAAAGGAAGAACACCTTTAGTGATGAAGTTGAGATTTGAAGATGAAGCTTCTAATTCCTCAAATGAATGTGCCCAAATACTCTTCGAATTGTTGCCGTAAAGCAGCTTCCATAACATCAATGCCTGAGCAGGTCTATATCCTTGAGAAGTCACCCAATTCTGTTTAAATTCTCATGTATTTGGATACGATCACTTTCAAGAAGCACATACAAAAAGTCCTTAACTCACGGGATATGAACTCAAAAGCCCTAGATTACCAGCTTTTTCAGCTTTTTGAAGAAAAAACAATTAAGGAATAGGTAGATGTATACATACTTCGAATTCCATGTATTGAAAGAGAGTGAAGTCAAAAATATCAGTACTGGTGGAGAAAAAAGGAGAAGACGGTAGGTGAAGGTTTACCCAATAGCAGAACCTGAAGAACACATTTTGTACTGAATTTTGTTCAGTTTTCGCTGCCCTCCATCTCCGATCGGAAGCGTAGAGAGGGGGGTTTAAGGCCTGAAATCGAGAGCAACGGTGATGTTTAGGGTTAGAAGTCGTTGTGTATAGAGGCGCATAAGGCTTAAAGAACAGTAACCTTGAAACGTTATGAAATCATGGTCCATGGTTGCATCGGTGGTGATAAACGGCATGGAGGGTTTCTAGATGGCTGACTTCAACCTTGGAATAGTGGCGAAAGGTGTGACCATCTTCCCTAAATCAACATATAGAGGCAAACAAATACATGGGTGTAATTGTAGCTACCAGGGGTTCCGTCGCAAGCATGGTGGCATTCTTTTCCACCGATGATAGTGATAAAAGGAACCAGAAGGTGAGATATTGAGGAAGTGAGCCATGGTCGGGACCAATTGTCGATCGAGCTTTCTATCTACATTGGCGAAGCAAACAGGAGAAGGTCTGGATGAGGAGTGGTGGAAGGAAGATACTGGAAGGCTGTATTGGGATACCATATTTGATCGAGCGGAATGTAAAAAGTCGGTGAGGGTTTTCAACAGACGGTGGGAAATGTGTATGGCGGTGGGTTTCAACAGACGGTGGGAAATGTGTATGGCGGTGGGTTAACCCGGTTGAGTAAAGGACCGCATATGGTGGAACAATCCTATTGGAGGAGAAAATGGTGAAGATGGAGAGGCAAACACGTAACATTCAAGCCTACTACTGCAACCTTAGTGCGACTACAGCAAGAAACCAAAAAAAAAAAATCAAAAGTGGTCCAATATGAATAGAGTACTGTTCCCTAAGGGGCTTTAGAAT